AATAATGTCGCGCGGCATACGTAAGAGATATCAGAGAATTATGATGATACAGCAGAGTGTGCTTGTATGCTTGATTAAACACACCCACGATTCGTTACGCCGCCGCGAAGAATTTGTTCGTCGTAAAACAAAAGGAGGACGCACGTTGCAACTGTACACGTGATAATGTTGAATTAGCAATCTGTTTTATTAAGAGTCTTGAGAATCAAAGAGTCGGGAAATCATTGCGAAAGTATAGTGAGAAAGTTAATTTGACGTTTTATTACAGAGATTTAGCGAGAATTTATACATTCGGAAATCCTAATTCTGCAGAATGTTAGAAATAGAAGTGACAACTTTTGTAGAAACTTTGAATGAAAATCCCAGTGATCAGCAAGCATTCCAAGTATTCTGCTTCCTAAGAGACCTAATGATCTGTAATAAAATCTGACTAATGTTCTGTAACAAATCTGACAACTGAACAGTGGAGTTTTGTGCAAATTCATATTTTTATGAGCGTAATTAAAAGTACAGAAGGTAAATAGGCAGATTTTATTTGCTTATTATGTGCATTCTGTGTATTTCCTGCCTTCAGAGTTTCCATAAATGCACAAAAAGCCGTTTAAAATTCTCAAAAAGTGTCTAAATTAAAAGGAAACATAGTGAAAAGTTAAACACACGTTCACACCACGAAGACTAAAGAAACAAGGTAGCCTGCATCCAATTCATTCCACAAGATCCGCGAAAGACAGGCAAGCCTCGGAGCCGGTGTTCAAGAATAAAATCGAATACTGAAATCCCACACAGCTGGATCACGAGATTAACTGGATCACGTTCGATGACACGCGTGCCTCGACTGCTAATGAATGCCTTCATAGACGCTTCTTTTATCTCCGCCCACGCAACGAAACTCGTGGTTTCTCGCGTGAACGACAGAGGATCCTTGGGATTCCTTGGACGGACTTCGCAGGCGAGACGACGAGTCACGATCGAAGTGGAGGAAAAAGGAAAAAGCAAAAAAAAAGTGGCACGAATGATTCAGAATCGTAGAGTTACCTGCCTGGTTTCAACGCCCATCTACGATGAAGAAACGTGGTGGCGAGCGAGCGAGCGCGCGCGCGCGATCCTGTTACGAGGGCGTCAGAAGGAGTGGCCATTCACGCGTGACACACGCGGCTCTCGCGAGTACGCGCACTCCACTTACGTTCATTCATAAAAATCTCGCCGTTCCTGGAAGCGGCTGACGTCGAAGATATGGGAGAATTTGCAAGACGCGGAAGTGTGATCCGGCTTTGAATCATTGACACTGCATGGAATAGCGAATGAGTCGCTGGAGGAACGGAGCTTATGATATTTGCCGTGATCAGGTTTGGTTAGATCGCTGTGGAGAAAGAGGTGTAACATGGTGGGAAGTCCTTCGTGAAAATATTAGTAATTGCTGCTAAGCAGTTTTGGCGACTTATGTATCGCCGTTCGTAAATGTCCAGAAGGTATTTAAATTGCGCTTAGTTACGCCAACGGTAGTGTCGCATATTAGTAAAAATATGTGTGTAGTTGCTCGTTATGCTTAGAGATTTTAGAATGAATCATTAATAATTTTGTAATCACTTTTGTGTGTCGAATAATTTTGTACTAAACTTTACATTTTACATTGATTTTGTATTAAACCTGTATTGTCTTTTGTACGAACTTGCATTGACAACGAGGCTTGCTTCACATTCAGCAAGTAGATCTTAGCAGACTTCTGTAGACGTATATACGTAGAATTCAGTAGATTTTAGTAATTTCTAAAAGATGTCGATAGATTTTAGTAGATTTCTGTAGACATCTGTAGAATTCAGTAGATTTTAGTAATTTCTAAAAGATGTCGATAGATTTTAGTAGACTTCTGTAGATTTCATATTCATTTGTTAGCAACGAAACCAAGGAAAAAGAATAATTCAACGTTCACAAGTATCAGGCCACCTGTTATGCTCCTACGGAAGGTATTAGGTACATGATTTAAATATACTATTACAAAAAGAACAAAGTTTCGTTTTAAACAAAGTGACACTTTTTAATTACTTCGTGTTTACCTTCGTGTTCAAGCAAAATCTATATAGCAACGATTCAATCTAGAATATTAAAAAACAAAAAAGAAATGACAGTTATTCTCTCCAAAAGAGAGAATCCTACAAGTCGTCGAAACTTAAAATACCACTCGTGACAGAAGCTTTTCTTCACCGTAGTGCTTCAACCAGTACGTACGACCTTCTGAAAAGAAGGCAAAATCGATACACGCTACACCGGTTTCCGGCAGACTCCGTTTCTTTTTCCCTATGCAAATAGCCGTGTTTATTTTCGTCGATCTCAAGTACGGTGTATCGGGTCTAAATCTGAAAGAGCACGGACAGATTAACATAAACGTTTCCCCCCCGTGGACCTACATGTACGGTGCACTTGAAACGCGTTCTTTCACGGAACACTGGTCGAATTCTACATGTTTAGGAAGGAATGCACCGTGTTAAAAATAATTCTCGAAGGACAGATCTCTCTCGCCGCGAAAGTATAAAAATATCAGCGGCGGCATAAAAACTTTGGAAATTATTCGAAATTCCCCAACTAGGAAGTGCTTGTTTAGTCCTCGAGCCGGAAAGAAACAGCACACAGGAGAGCTTATTTCGTTTGCGACCGATGAATCATACTTTCAGCTCGTCCAAGGCTTCCTCGACGAGACGGAAAGCAAGTTCAAGAGCGGCAAGGATGCACGCGTCGATTATTCGAATGAATATCTCCTTTATCTGCTACTTGTATCGTGAATCATGATATAATTCTGCGTTTACGACCAGTCTGTCAAGGCTACAATTAGATTTTAATGCTCGTTTGTTCGCGGCTTAATGGCGTACCGTTGGCGGAGCACGGTGTGATTTCGTTGACAACGAGAATCGAATTATTTTAGAAGTAAAGTTACTGCCGGAAATACGCGGATAAGTTTGCCTCTCTAGCGACGAATTTTGGTTAATTTCTTAATTAAATTTCATCATTTTTGTGTATCCCTTTTGGTCAATCCTTAGAAAGGATCTCAGAACTGAGTGGAATTTATAGAAAATAAATAGAATATTTGAAAATATAACAAATCTCGAGTATTTCTAAGATTTTTCGAATAAACCACTATTCTGAAAAGTGGCATTTGTTCAATTGGTGTTTTTGCTTAGTGGACGGAAATTATTAGGTGGCAGAAAAGTTCGCGTGCTAATGATTCACACTCCTTATTACATGGAAAAGTAAATTGTACGTTTCTTGTGCTTACTGACATCTTTGCGGCAAATAGAAAAATTATAGACGACTGCATGCTATGTAAATTTATGCAAAGCACTAAGAAAAAGAGGAAAAATGGCAAATGGTGCAGAAAAATATTGCAAAATGTTTGAATATCATAAAATATAGAATATAAAAGTTGGTTATTAAAATTCAAATACAATTCCTTCTGGTATTTCTATTAGATCATCCCATAAGTTCGTCTCAAATTTGATAATTTATATCAACATTTCCAACGAACAATTAAATTTGATTAAAAAACGTCAGCTCCTTCTGGTCCCACAATTTTTTCTTATTTTATTTTTCGGCACAAAATTTCTTTGAATTTTCGTTCAAATATTTTTCGCGAATTTCACCAACCTCTCGGACGAATTTATCGCAGTTTCTCGGCTGAATTAATCTCTCGATCTTTGCGAATTAATTTTTCCTCAATAAGCGGAATTCTTTATTACGAAGTGAGAGAAGCAAATTTTCCACGAGAGTGTTATAAAATAACAATCATCGCACGCTTCTTACAATTCTCCGATAGAGAAAAATTTCCTATGATTCAGACTGTATAGAATGGGAGATAAGGAAAACGGAAACACGTACCTACATGCGGCGTGTTTTATTCGCCGGAATATTAATTGCTTTTTCTCTGTGCGGTTAAATAACAGTATCACACCGCGATACGTACAGTCGGGTCAATCCCCTCGGACATCATTATCTGTCCCATTTATAGTTTATCAATGTGCGTAATCTAGCGGTTTGGCAATCAACAAAGATACCATAAATATCTGAATCGTTCGTGTATTATCGAATTGTCGAGTCGACCCTTCAAATTTCCACATTCGGAGATTTTACTAGATTTTTTACTTATTTGGATATATCAGTCTCTTTCGAAACATCCTACCTGCACTGTCAAATCGAATTTAATCATTTCGGTAATCTTTCGAATTCGTGGGAAAACTTGAACTGCACGAAAATTCTCATTGAGCTTTATCAACTTTACGAAGAAGTAAATTAACAAGTTTTTATCTAAAGAACACTCATATTTCGGAAATAATTTAGAATTAGATTAATTTAGAACTTCG